GCAAATTTCATTCTTGTGATTCTATATGTTTTTCAAAGATATGATTTTTTGCACTTAACCCTTGCACTCATTCCATTTCTATGTAAGGTTCTCTTTACTGTACATTCACTAACTTCAATTTGTTCTTCTATTTTTAATTTTTTTTGAATTGCAACAGTATTGCTACATTCACCTATTGTAATTAATTTCAAAACTTTTCATTTATATTGACCAGTTAAGAGTCGCAGACGCTCAGATTTAGGTTTGTTTTTATTATTACCAGTTTTATCTTTATATTGCTTGGTTTTTATAACAGTTGATTGAGAAACATTTTTCTTGTTTGCTATATAGTGGGAGGAAAAACCTTCATCAAATAAGGCACAAATCCTAGCTCTTTTTTCAACAGAAAGATAAACCATAGATATTTTATAAAATTACAAAGAGGTGAAAAATGCCATAAGGCATCTTTTTTATATGTGTCGCATAGTTGTTTTGAAGCAAAAAAAAATTGCGTAATAAGTATTGATATTTATTTCTTAAATCGATTAAAAGAAATGCATTGCCACTTTAGCGAAAGTTTTATAACAAAAAAAAAAAATATTCTTAAAAAAAAAGATGAAAGAGATTGATAAAGATTAAGGTATGACAAACTCTATATTTAAGTTTTATAACACTGTGTCTTTTAAATTACAAGATATTTCCATTTTAAATTTTGTATTCAGGTGATGCAATACTTTTGATTACCACTGTATTTTCTTTTCAAATTAAATAAATATAACTTATATAGCTAGTATGATTAATCAGACAATCAATACATTGAGTAAATATATATTAAAATATTTCAAATTTGAATATAATTCTATTATTAGCTTTAAATTTTGCTAACACACTTTATATTTTCTTCAAAATTTTAAATGAATTATATTTTAAAAGTATGTATAATACCTTTGATTTTTTATTTAAAATAAATGGTAATGTATTATTTTAAAATGAGTTAGTTTTGAATTATAAATTAGTTTTTACTTTTCTTTACATATTAATTTTTAAAATCTTTTTAATTGAGATTTATCTTCTACTTTATTTTCCTTTAGCTCAATATATTTCTATAGTTTAGGAGCATCATATCTGTATTAAAATTAGTTAATAAATAAAGTAAAATAAAGAAATTTATCTATCAATAAGAAATATAAAATTTGTTTTAATACTTCTGATAAATAAAAAATGCTTGATTGAAATGTTATAAATAATGCATATTATACATTATATCTTCAAATAAAAATTGCAAAACAGAATATTTTAAGTTATAAACTAAGCCTTTTCATTATCTTATCTAATACAAGTACTTACATTTTTAACTGATATTTCTCTGAAGAATATGCATTTAAGAAATTCTGAGTTGTAAAATATCTTACTATAATTGATATTCTTATTACATTCTTTTAACTTTGAATAATATAATCTGAAAATTAAAAAGAATTTTTCTTTTTAATTATTTAAAATCTACCTTGTTTGTCTATATCATTTATATTGCAAAAATTTTTTAGATTCTAAATTAAAAAATTCTTTAAAATAAATAGTAATAAATCTAGTGAAAGCTGTTTTAATAAATTAACTATATGCATTTTTTATATAATCACTATTCAGATCAGATTTTTTCTTAATTTTACCTTTATAGTTAACTCTTAATATAACAAATTCTTGATATAATGAATTTTTTAAACAAATATAATAAAAATACACTTGTAATAGTGAATTGATTAATTAAATCTCTTAAAATCTTCACTATAACTTTATAGCAAAGTTGAAATCTAAGACATAGAGTTTATTATAACAAGAGTTAACTATATATTGTTAGATTTATTTTTCATATATAAATCTTCTTTTCTGAACTGATTATAAAAAAAATATATAATGTTTTAGATTATCTAGTATAAAAATGTTAAACTTTACTTTTGAGCAGTATTTTATAACTATTTAATCTTTTTACTAAAAAATTTAACATAATTTTTGACTTATATATTTTAGAATAAACTAGTATTCTAAAAACTTATTAGATCTTCTAAATATATCAAGACTTATTTTTTCTCTCTATATATTATTTTCGTAAAATTTGTAATGTTCATGAAGTGAAAAAGATCATAGAATATATAATATGTTATTTAATAAAAAAAAGAAAAGAATTAAATATATTATATTTATAATTGAATTCTAATAATTTAAATATCATTTCTGTAATAAATAGTACCTTTTTTGTTTTTAATGATGATAGATTATTAGATTTTAATAACTTGAATATTAACTTTGCAAGGAATAGTTCCTCTTTTATTTTTTAATAATAGCAGATGTTCTTTACCTTTTTTAAGTTTTAAAATTGAAAAGATGAATGTAATTCTAACTAATTAATCATATCTATTTCTTTAAAGTAACTTTTATTTTTTATAATATATTAATTATCTATTATAATATATTTTTAATTGAAAATATAAATAATCATTTTTAATAATTATCACTTCAAACTAGTTAGATCAGACTATTTAAGTCAAAATTTTTCTTAGTTTTGCCTTCTTATTGTTAAAATTTTTTTTTACTTACTTTACTTTATAAATCTTTTTTTAGGTTGATAGATGTTTTATATAATGCATAATTTGAATTAAATTTTTTAGATTCATCTATTATTATAATAGTTTTTTCAGATTCTAAACATAAAAATTAATTAATATAAAATTATTAATTCTTAAAATAAAAATACATTGATTACTAGAATGATCAAGAAACTTTTCTTTGTTTAAAGATATTCACTTTAGAAAAAATAGAAATCAAAAATTTTTTAGAAAAATTGTCAAATATTTATTTATGAGTTTATGTATTTCATTTAATAATCATATCAGTAGAAAGGTGTGTTAATTAATCAAAAGATAATTAATCAAAGGATATTTAGTTAACAAATAAAATAAAAAAAAACATTTTTATAATTTATTATAAAATTATATTTAGAATGGTATAATGATATAAAAAATATTTAATACTAATTAAGAATTAATTAACTGTTTAATTAACCAAATCTTAATTAACCGTTAATTTTTCATCTTTATATATCAGTTATTAGATATTTCCAAAAATTAAAAAGTAATAAAATTAAAAAATTTGATATAGTTATAAATATACTCTTATATTAAAAGTTTAAAAACATGTCTTGATTAATCTTTACATATAGTATATATATTTTTATTAAACTTCTCAAAACTTATCAAGCTATAATTTTTAAAAACAAATTTATATTTCAAAAATAATCTTTTTCTTTCTTATTACAAAATCAAAATATCAGAATAATATGAATTACTAAAGTTATTTTCTATATAAAAAATCATAAAAATAATTTATATTATGACTTTCTATTACCTTATAAATAAAGTATTATAAATGGTTAATATTATCAATAACATCCTTTTTAAATTAGTTAGATTTTAATAATATTTGATTCACAAATTTTATAAGATAGAGAATATTTACATTATATTATAAAAAATGCTATTACATATAAAATTATTTTATTAGTTTAGTTTAAGTAAAGCAAGAAAACAGATATAGGATTAGCAGGATTTAAGTATAAAGGTATGTTTTTTTGTTTTACAAAGGAAGGATAACTCTTAAGTTGAAGAATAATATGTTCATTGACTTAGAAGAATTACTGGGTTGATATCTTTTCAAGCATTATAACTTTGTTATTGATAAAGGTCTGCTGATTTTAAAAAGAAATTAAATATGTTTCTTTTTTTATCATTAAATAAAAAATCTGATCTACTAACATTTTCTTTTTGCAAACAGGTAGATTCAGAACATTAATGTCACATGACAACGCTTGGACCACAAATTTTATAAGTGAAGCAAGAAAGCAGGAGCAGGATTTAAGTGCAAAGACGCGTTTTTTTTTTTGTTTTGCAAAAAGGAGGGTAACTCCTAAGTAGAAGAGCAACATGCCAATTAACTTAGGAGAATTACTGAGTTAACATCTATTCAGGCACCCTAACTTTGTTGTTGGTAAAGGTCTGCTGATTTGAGGAGAAATCGGATATGTTCCTTCCTTTAACATTTTCTTTTTTGCAACAGGTAAATTCGGGGTAATCTTTTTATGCATTGCATTGAATGATGCAGACCTAAACTGCGCAATTTTTTGAAGTGTCTTTTGAGAATAAAAGGCATTGTCACACTATATTAATTATTAAACGGTAATATTCGAACGGAGTCTAATACTTACCGGGGAGTAGTTCGACAATAATATGATCTCAGTAAAGACATTTCTAATTTTCTTATTAGGAAACGTCAATTTCTGTACACCGTCTCCGTGTTGTTTACAAGTACGACGTCAACCTCCATGGTATCATCATCGAATGGAACGTTTACTTTCCATCACATCCTTAGTCTCCATTAACAAGGCAATAAAGTTTTACATGGTTATTTGTTACGGAGAAGATCTGACAATAATTTTTAATTCAGCAAGTCCGAATTGAAGATTTAAATTATTAGATGCATCAATTTGATCAAATATATATTTACTAATCTAACCATCGGTTTCTTGAATCAAATCGATATTTTGGAAATATTTAATATTCAATGATTTCTTTTTCTAATTTTTCGTTTTGAATTTGTTCATGTAACCCTAATTACGAGCTTTTCAATGAACACCTCTTTAACTATCATTATTTCTTCAACAATTTTATCGAAAATGTTGAACGGATTCTTAAATTTCGTCATGACTGCTTTTCAACCATTTATTCAACGAATTTATTTTTTCCAACTTTTCTGTTGTAGAATGATGAACAGTAACATCATATTATTAAGTTTTGCATCTTTTTTTTCAAATTCTTCAGTTGGTTTTACATGTTTTTGATTTTCAAAAGATACCCAAAATTTTTATAATTATAAGATAAATTGGCTTCCGATTTGATATTTATCTTCTATTATAGTACAAATTTTTTTTTCGTCGCCTAATCTTTCTTTCATTTGAATTGATTTCAAATCTATCATTCACGCACTCTTTCATTCGGTTTATTCGCGACCTGACCTCTCTCCTCTCTTCCCTAAATTTAATACCCACAGTACGCCCATTATCTAGTTGCTTATTACAAAAGATATGATTCAATGTATTATTCATGTAGTATTATTATTAATTCGGGAGTTTGAGATTTCTTATGAAAAATGAATTTTTTAAGAGATATATATAGATAATATGCTTGTATATACATTAATTATAATATTCTAATGAAATTATTAAAAACCTTAGCAACATTTTTCTGAAATTATTTATTAAATTGAAAATTAAACTATTATATAATTTAGATAAATTCTTTTAAAGTAAAAACCATATCCAACAAACTAAGTAAATTATAAGCGCAATTAAAGCAATATCACCAATTTCTTTGCCTATCGTCTTCCAGTATCGTGAAGTAAATATCATCCATTTTCTTTTCTGATGATATCTTTTCCATACAGGTAATATTTCAGCATTTCTTTTTAGTTTAATAAATGTGTGCGAAAAAATACAAAATATTGTTGCAATTATTAATATTATATACCAAATATATATTCGAATTTGATTCGGTAGTAAGCATTGAGAATAAGCAAATGTTGTAAAGTTGGTTTCTGTTGAACTATCATTATTTAAAGGATTATAAAGACTTAAAAGCAAAAAACCCGGTCTGCTAATTCCCTATAATTACTAACATTGTTAATATCATTTAGCAATTAAAAAAAGGTATCACGATATATTTACCATTGCAAAACTGAAGCTGTTAACTGTAATTTCAGGAATTCCATCTAATTCATCGTGTAAAATTTCACAATAATCATGATCATCTCCACTAAATATTAACATTGGCTTTATATTATTTAAAATATAATTTGTTAACGATTCTACTATTAAATTCTGATATTGGTAGCCAGCACCTTGTTTAATATACCGACTTTGTTGTCGAAGTGTTCCACAATCAGTATTCGGCGGACGATACAAAGGAACGTGTGTTAATAATATGCGAGGAAGGGAATTCGTTGTATCTAAAAAAATAAAAAAAGTAAAATTAACAAGTAATTTCAAAAAAAAAAATATTAAATATTTAATACATAAATTTCACCATTCTCGAGCCTCTGTATTAATTCTTTCGCATCCTTTTTCAAAGTTTCGTTAGAACCACTCAAAGTTATTGTATCTAAAGCTATAAATGAATGATTACCAATATTTGTCATATAACTTAATGGTCCAAATTCTTTTCGAAATCTGTAAAACGCTTCTGGAATTACATGATCTCCGAAACCAATATCATGATTCCCCGCTAAATAAAAAATTGAAGTCTTTAATGGTTTTTCTGGTAAAAAGATGTCCTGAAATCGATGAAGTTCTTTATCCCATCTAATTAAATAAAAAAAAAAAATTAATAAAATAACAACTTTTAATTAAAATTTAATTTAACTTACTTCCTATCATCCCATTCTCTTCCTCCATCCAATAAATCACCAAGAAATATTATTGCGTCAGGATCAAATATATTTTGTAAATTTATCCAATTCTTTCTCATATACATATCAGGATATATTTCAGAAATTCTCTGAAGTATACCGGTTCGGCCATAAGAATAATCATCAATTATTTGTGGGTCAGCGATTATTGCAACATGAATAGGCCTTGTTTCTGTGGTGTTCTATAATTAAATTTTACAATTAAAAATAATAAAATAAAGATATCGTATTTCAATTAAATAATTATTTTGAAATCTACCCAATTCTTATGTTCTGGCCAAGAACATTTTCGCATTGAATACGAAAAAATAATAATTTCTCCTATTAATAATGCAAGCGTCCATATTATTTTAAAAACAAAAGTCGGAGAACGATTTTGAATACGTCTTTGATTACGTTTAACAGGGCTTAAAAGTTTTTGAGTGATTTTTGTCATTATAAGGAATGGAAAATGAAAGATCCCTAATGAAATATTAGCACAAGATCTAAGCACTGACGTAGGTGGTTGTGTTTTGGGCTGTTGCATGATAATGTATGAGAAAGAAATGGTACAATTAATCTCGGTAAAGGAAAGTCAGGTTAAAATTAAAAAGAAATAGAAAGAAAATATGTATTTGAAATTTAAAATTTTTAAAAAAGTTTGAATTAATTAATATTAGTTACACACAATGGACACAATGATCAATGTAAAAAAGTACATGAACGAATTGCATTTTTTTTTTTTTATTATGCTATTCTTTCTTTTTGATTTTAAATTTCTCATTTAAACTCTCTTTCATTGCACATTGTAACCATGTATAACACAACTTCAAAACCACCTGCTTTACTTACGGATTCGTCCATAACTGCAATTACAACCGTATTTAAACCTTCTACAAACAATAAGATTCCATCAATAACCCGTCCTATTCCAAAACCAAATGTAGATATTCTTCGGAAATTATTAGTTCACTCCGATGGTCGCGATAAATTCTTAAAGATTATTCAGTATTTTGGAAAAATTATTCTTTGGCTTCATATTAATAAAAAGAAGACAAAATATCCTAAACTTTATTCTCGTTTAATTGCCATGACATCTCAATTTTCTAATACTCGTAAAATAATCCGATTAGCACATTTTCTTGAACCATACGCAGATTTTAAAGAGTACGTAGCAGGCGCTCGTAATTTACCACACACCGCACTTCGTTATGAACATGCTGTTAATACTTTGGGATTTATTAATTCGATTGTTGGCTTTTTTAATGATATTTTTGATGATTTATATTGTCTTGGTAAAGTTGGTATTTTAGATAAATCGGTAGCTAAAAGATCAGAACCTATTGCCCTTAAATTATGGTTTGTAAATATTATCTTGGATATTCATGAACTTATATTTAGAATTTGGTTATTAAATGAGAAAACTAAAAAATCAAAAGAAAAATTATCTGAAAATGAATTAGAAAAATTAAAAGATAGAAAATATTGGTTGTATATTAGTTTAGTTAAATTTATTATGGATTTTTGTTTCTGTGGTAAGTATAATGTGTTTATTTGATCTTATTGATTAAAGAGCATTAATATAAATTTTTTTTTTTAGGATATGATTTATTTGGGTATACATTTTCTGATGGTGTACAGGCTGTTTCAGGCTTTGTAGCAGGAATTTTAAGTAAGTAACTTTTATTATCATTAGCAAATTTTTACGATTTTATTCTTAGTAATTTTTATAATCAATTATTCTAGGTTTTCATAAACTCTGGATAAAAGAAAATAGTTATAAGAATTAAAATTTAATAATTTATCATAAAATAAAAAAAAAATTATTTAAAAGTTAATTTTTTTTATTTTTATAAATATAGATTATAATAATATATAGAATCTTTTTCTTTTTTATATTGAAATTAATTTTTTTTTTTTTTAAAAAAAAAATATTATTATTTAATAAACAAATTTTATAATTTTTTTTTTAATTAAATTTATTTTTTAAATAGTAAAAATATTTAAGCAAGCATAATCTTTAATTAATTATAACATAAAATTTTATATAATAATTTATAATTTATTTGATGATTATAAAATTAATAGTAAAAAAAAAGAAAATTATAAAAAATTTTTATTACTTTATAAGTTAAATATTATTTTTTAATAAAATAAATTTAGATTTAATATTAATTTAAAAAAATTTTTTTTTGGTAGTTCTTTTTCTATTACAAATAAAATTGATAAATAAAATCTAGAGTTTTATAAATCATTTAAATGATAAAAGATAAAAATTTAGCAAAATTATATTAAAACCTTATTAAATAATCTATAAAATTTAAAAAAAAATAAAATTATACATTAAAACTTATAAAATGATAAAACTATATTAAAACTCTTAGTAAAAAATTAGTAAAATTAAAAATTAAAACATTTTATCAAATCTAAAATAAGTAATTTTAAATATAAAATATTTATATATATAAAATTTTTAATTTATTTTTTATAAATATAATAGGTAATTTCTATTTATATATAAAAATTTATACATGTATCACATAATACAGCCAATATTAACATTATTTTCACTAGAATTAAGAAATTAAGAATTTAACTATATAACAAATAAGGTATAACAAATAATAATTTTTCATCAAAAATTTTAAGTTTTTGAAATAAATAGTAAAAACTAAAAGTAAAGAATATGAAACTAGTGACAAATATATCTGTGCATAATCCAGATATGTATATTCTATGTAAACTTAAAAATTTTTAATATAATATTTAAATTTAATAATTAATAATAATTATATTTATTAACTATATTTTATTACTTTAACTAATTTAAGTTTTAAAGTTTAACTAAGTTATAATAATTTTATTTTTTTTAAAATTTTATTAAATTTTAATATTTAAATAATATCATTAATTAATAATATATAATTTTAATATAATTAATTTTTATATAATCAGCTTTTATAATTCTCTTTTCTTATAAACACATTTTTTTTTATTATATAAAATTAATAAAATTATTAAAAAAATCTTATTATATTAATATAAAATTATTAATTATAATTTTTATATTAATAGATTTTAAATTTAATTTATTATAACTTTATAATCATATAAAATTATTTTATTTCAAATATATAATTATATAAATAATGAACTGTATAAATATTTTACAATAAAAATTATAAAATAAATAAATATATATATATATATTTTTTAAATTATATTATATTTAATAAATAATTTTTTAGTAATTCCTTTTTTAAAAATCTTTAATTTAATTAATAAATATCGTTCAAATAAATTTTTTTAAGAAATAATTAAAATATAAAATATAAATAAAAAAAATTAAAAAAAATATTTTATAATAATTTTTTATTATAATTTTAATTAAAAAAATTTATTATTTATTGATAAATCATTTATATTTTTAAATAAATTAATTAGGTTATTAAATTTAAAATCTTTATTTACAAAATAAAATAAATGACTATATAATATACAAAATAAAAGATTTTATAAAATATCAATTCTTTTATTTATTTATATTTATATAATAATTTATCTATATATGATTAACTGTTAATTATTATATATTTAAATAATTTTATCTATTTTATTATTAATAAAACAATTAAAAAAAATAAAAAATATTTTATATATCATTAATTGCTAAGTATTATATATTTATTCTGATTTTTTTTAATTAATAAAAAAAATAAATTTTTTTGTTAAAAAATATGATAGTTATTTATTAGTTTAATACATTTAAGTCTATTAAATATGAATAGTTTAAAATAAATATCATTAAGTAAATAAACTTATAATAATATAATAAATCTGTAGACTTACTACAAAGTTTTTTGTTTTATAGATTTTCTGTTTCAAACTTAATAACTATTTCAAAACATTCTCTGATTAATTTTATTTTTACATTATTATTTTAACTTAAATATTATATTTAATTATTATTTATAAATAATATTTATATAATTATATTTAAATTTATTTATAATACAATTGATTTTCTATATAACTATTTCTTTAGAACTATAAATTTTATATGTAGAAGATTTATTATAAGTTTATTATTAATTTAGCTTAACAAAATATGCTTATAAAAAGGAATGATTATATAAGAAATGATCAATTATATATATATATAAAAAAAAAAAAATATAATAAAAAAAATCTGTAAATATAATTTTAATAATTAATAATATATTAAATAATTTAATAAAATATAAATTAAATTATAAATTAAAATAATAAAAATAAAATATAATTTTTAAATTATAATAATAATTAGTTTTTTTTTTATATATACTTTGATTTTAAGCTTATTTTAAAATTTTTAAATTTAATATATTTTTATATCTTTATTTATTGATATTTTTAATAGTATTTAATATATTTAGTATAAAAAAAATATTTAATAAATTTATAATATAATAAAAAAAAAGGTAAAGTAAACAAAAAAATATTAATTAATAAGCTATTTAATTTATAATATGTTATTATATATAGAAATAGAATCTATTATTTTAAGAATTTGATATTAAAGGTTGAATGTGAAAAATACGATTTATAATCTCTTTCCATAAACATTGACTTTCTTCTTTTATACCTTCAAGTATGAAAGAATTTTCTTGAGCTCTTCTTATTAAGTAAGGTATAACTTCATTAATCTACAAAAAAAGAATACTTTATAAATTCATGAGACTTAAATAAAAAAAATTTAGATAAAACGATGATTTATTATACCTTGCCATAGGGTACATATTTGTAAACTCCACATTCATATTTTCCTAATGTATAAGTAATTGTATCACACATACCTTTACAAAAAATAATTATCAGTAAATTATCAAATTTTGATGTATTAATAGATAGTTTTTAACAATACCTAACAATTGCCCGAACAAAACTAGACCAGATTTGGTTGAAATGTCAAGATCCATCATCTGTCGTAATGCCCTTATTATGGATCTTTTATTATGAGAAGCAACCATAAACACTACAGGACTATTTGAAATATCTAATTGCTTATCAAATGTTTTCTGAGCTTCAGATAGTTTATTTAATAGAAATTCCACAGCAAACTCATAAGCTGCATGAGTGTTTTCGATTGTGTCATGAATTGGATCAGGATATCCCATTTCTTTAGCTCTCTTGCGTTCGCTATACAGATAAGCTCCACGCACTATTTTTGTCGCAAATACAAATTGTTTCCGATTTGACAAATTATAATTTCGCATCAACCTTTCGGTTGAATCCTTTAAATACATTTGATACGTGTTGAAAATAATTGGACCATTTTTGTTATCAGATTTGTTATACTTTGCGGATAATTTCATGGCTACATCATCTATGGCCGGTTGAAAATATGTTTGTTCTGCATCAATCATTAAGCGAACATTCTTTATTCGAGCAAGTTCGCAAAGTTCCTTAAGACGATCCATCATCTTATCGTAATCCTCAAAATCCTCTTGCTTCAAATGAAAGTCTTCATTACAAATCAATAAAGATCGAGAATATTTATTATCTAAAGAAAGCATATTAATAAATTCAACCTTATCGATCAAACCTTCTTTGTTTTCATCGGCATGGTCAAACAATGTTTTGGCAACATTTTCCTTATCATCGCCGAATAATTCGTAAACGAATTTAAGGAAATCTGACCGTTCTAATTTGCCATCTTTATTTATATCAAATTTATCAAATGATTTGGACAAAGAATTTAAAGTCAAAGTCCAGTTTCGCAATATTGTTGGATTAGATAAACCAGTTAACTTTAACGCCACAAAACTATTTGGTTGTGATGCAGCGGTCGTTATACATTTAGCCATCGATCTGGACACGTGATCTGCTTCGATATTACGACTTTCATTAAGAGATAAAGATCCATTTTCATTTATATCCGCTTCAATTGATAAATCAAGTATCAATCCAATCCCATGCGTTTTTAATTGAGACATAGAGTCTATACATTGTTCAGCAGTTTCTCCGCTATAAATTCAATGAATATATACGATTAGAATAAACTAATACCCATAAATGATAGCAGTATTTTTGCAAAAAACAAAACGTACATACCCACAAAATTGAGCGAAAAAGGTACGTTTTATTAACCAGTAAATAGGTGCTGAAAGACCTGCTTTTTCGGCAAATGATATTAATCCTGGAGAACGATTCACTAACCATTGAAAAGAGCATAATCTGTAAACAATTAGAGTATGAATCAATTCTTTAATTGGTTTGTTCTGAACTGCAATTCTATTATCTTCAGAGAAGATATCACCGATTGTCGAAGCTGACTCCATTAGTCTTGATGTTTTGGAAAATCCTGTTTTTTCATGAAAGTAATAAGATAATTTAGAAGAAGTTGAAGTGAAACGAACGGGTTGTAAAGCTCCTAATTTTAATCTCTGAATATGTTGAAAATTTTCGTATGAAGAATATCGATTTATTCGTAATAATGTTGGCAATTTTGTACTAAATCGATTAGTCATCTCCACTCAAATGATGTTATTTTTCCATTAGCTTCCTCTATTTATATTTATTTATACGGGGTCATGTGTTGATCACCTTAACTTATGTCATAAAATTTACGATCGATCGGTATTTCTATTTTTGTACTTTTTTCACACACTTGAATTAACTAATAATTTGTCTCTTTTATCCTTTCATTATATTTATAATTTACCTAACGATAATACATCACAGGTATGGAAAGAAAGGGGGGGAAACTACCGGAAAAAAATAAATTTTACTTTATATGCAAAAAAATGATTTTCTTTTTTATTTTTTTTCCAGCCGTTTAATGCAAAGGTCACTATATATTGTTTACAAAAATGGAAAAAGGAAGAATGCTTTCAAACTTTACGTTTGTTAGATAATTTGATGTCACTCTTTCCTAATTTGTGTGTATAGTCATGATGGTTACGCAATCAATTTATTTGCGTGACATAAAATTATTAATAGAAGTTTAACTAGGGAACGGTTTCGGAAATTGTTGTTAAGTCCGGAGCACAAGGGACCAACCACGTATCGACTCAAATTTTGAGCGGGTGGACAAACAGAAACCGAGCACAGACATATAAGTCCTTCGCTTACGTTCCGGACTAATTAATTTAGAATTATCTAATTTCTAATTTAAATTCACTATCAAATATAATTTTCATTAGGATTTTTAGTTAAAAATTCAATTCAATAATTTGTTTATTATTCAAAAATTCCTCTAATTGTTTTTACAATAATAATATAAAAAATTCACTATCTTCAAGTTTAACTTTTATAATTTTTTACATCAATTTGATCAAATAAAACTTCTTTTTTAAATATAATTTACAAAAATTTGTAATTATATTTGATAATACATTTAATATATTATTTAATTATTTATTATAAATTTAATCGCTTTCTTTTTTTTTATAAAATTTAATCCTGAATATGCTACGTTAAAATATGGCTTAGCATTCCAATTGGCAAACGTTTACACGAATATGATATTATTTTTTTTGTAAATTACTATAAATCGAGATTAATTTTCTTTCCTTAATGTGTAATTGAAGAACTTGGACAATATATTGTACATCAAACTTTGGTTTATCAAAAAAAAAAAAAAAAAATAGCATCACACTAGAAATGTTGGCTTGCCTTATATCGATCCAAAATTTTTCGGTAATCAATATAATATTAATAGTCAAGGGGAAATCTACAGATTAAATAAAAGGGTTGATGTATAACTATAGACTTAAAAGTAGAACCATCAACTCATTTATAAAGATTTGATTTTCTATTTACGATTTATTTTACGATTTATACTTGTCAAAATGCGCCTCGTCTCGCACTCCAGCCTCGCAAATCATTAAAAAATATATATATACGATTTTTTGCTTCTGTTTGACCTCGCGTTTAAAAAGTTTTTTTATTTGAAATGTAATATGATTTTTATTTTTCCTCACTATTGGTAAATAAATAAAGTACTCCTTAAGGAGCTCGTAAGTTTCGTCAGTTAAACAAATATTCTTGCGTATTCGTTTGAAAAGATTTTCTTAAACAAAATACTTCGGCCCTACTACGAGACTGCAGCAGAAAGCTGGTACCCATAGGCTTACGAAATGTAAGCGCCCATGCTCCTTCCCACGCACAGTACTATGCCGTTCCGATAATTCCCAACCAGCCCTACCATGAGACTGCCAGAAAACTGGGTACCCACGGGCTTACCAAAGATAAGCAAGTCACGCCCCCACCCACGCGTAACATCATGCTGCCCCATAATATCCAAAAAAAACAAAAAAGCAAATAAAAGAGATAGACATACCAGCGAAAAAACAAAAAAAAAAAGACAACCAAAAAATTTAACAAACAAACAATAAAAGCATGACATACCTCGTTCTTAAAAAACAAACAAACAAAATAAAAGGAATGGCTTACCTTCTTATCTAGCCCGCCCATCAAAAAATAAAACAAACAATAAATAGCAAATAAAGAAAATGACATACCTTGCGTCCTTATCAACCCTCACATCAAAAAACAACAAAACAAAAAAAAAGGCAAATAAAGGAATGGCTTACCTTTTTACCTAGCCCGCCTACCAAAAATAAAACAAACAAAAAAAAAGCAAATAAAGAAATGACATACCTTCTTATCTTCCAACCAACCTGTCGTAAAAAAAAAAGAAACAAAGCAAAATACATACTGTAAATGGCTTACCTTCTTTTCTGACCTTAACAACCCGACAACTAAAAAATAAAAATAAAATAAAAATAAAATAAAATAAAATAAAATAAAGAAATAGTTTACCTTTTTACCTTCGCGTTCTTAACCAGCTCACACGTCAAAAGAATCTTTATTGTTCCATAAGTTTCATATTAGAGGTTTATATATATAGGAAAAAGTTTCGAGAAAGTTTGATTACTCATCATCATTTAATAGTAACATGACTATTAAACACAATATGAATGGTCAACCATTATCTGTTACCTATAAAACGACATAAATGTCAGGTGACTTTAAAATTTTATAAGTTGTAAAAAAAATAATAAACAATAAAGCAATACTAGCTGAACATTTTTAATTTTTTAACACGTCAGAAATTTTCCGATCTATTTTAGTTTAAAGTCTGGCAAGTGTTTATATGACACATATAGCAAAAAGGAAAATTCGGACTATCGAGCAACATAAACAAGGGAATGAAATTTATTAAAGTGAGAGTTAGAAGTACACGAGTACCACAGATGAGAGGTAAAAGAATATTTGTTATGAATTCGCGAAACTTTTAATTTTATTTTCACACATATATTTATAGACAAATTAGCTAGGAGACATAGACAAAAGGAACAATTGGTATCACATATCGTCAAGAAGACATGCCTTTTACCACTGAAGGAATTACACCAGATCTTGTTATATGGTTGAATGTTTGTTGGGAAAGGTAACTATAACTTTTACTAGTTTTAATTTACTCAAAATTTAAACTAATACATTATTTTTCAATAATTATTAAAGGTTTCCACTAACAGGACAGGAAGGCGATGCAACTCCTTTCACAGATGTGACAGTTGAAGCTATTTCTCAAAGTTTAAGATCACAAGGATATCAATCTAGAGTATTTGAGGTAATGTATATGAACATATGAGACGTAAATTATCTGCACAAGTTTTCAGCGGCTAAAACATATGGTGGATGATAAGATTCACTACGTATACCTTTGTTAAATATTATACATTATTATTGATATTGAATATGGTCTTATTTTATTATTGGTCAACCTTTTTTGTTGATTGAAAATGTGTGATACAAATATGGTATGATAAATTTGCTAACACCTGAAATCCTTCCTAATATAGAAATTATTGGCGTAACATGTCTCATATTTCAAACATTTTTTTTGATCCTCCTATTTATGTTTGCTAACTTTCTAACTTCTCACTTCCTTTTTTTGATTAACATGTAGTTGAGATGGTTAAAAGGAATACATACTTTGACAATATTGACTTAAATGATTGGAACATCCTGGATTTCCATCAAGCATATCATTGAGAAGATTTAAGGAAGCTAAATGTATCAAAAGGCAAATGATTCTATAATAAAGAGTTTACAGTTGCTAATTGATGGTTGTTAGGAATAAAGAGAAGACATAGAAAGCCGCAAAGCTCTTGTCAAATAAGGCAAGTAATTTTTAATACAAATATCATAGAATGGAGTGCTAATGATAGGATAAAGGTTCATATATGACTTGCATTATATCAACAGGTACTCTGTACTAGTATTTACGTCTCTATGACAAGATTGTATAACTTTTTGCTATGCTTTTGAGACACCTTTGTGAATCTTAATCAACAATAGTTGTTTTTGCTAGGAGGAATCAACTTTTTGCTAATCCTTTAAATGCCTTTTTGAATGCTTGACAATTCCAGTTATTCATACTAAGAAGAATTAACTTTTTGCTGATCTTCTGAATATTTTTTTAGATATATAGTGTATCACAGTGCCTATATTAAGTTGTTGTTCTTCACTAACCAAACTTTTTTCCTTATAAAAGAATAAACACAATGTTGAAATGTAATTTAATATCTTGTAAACTTTTGTAGAATATCAGAATCGCTAAAAATTGACACAAGTGAAATTGAATTGTAATCAAGTATATCTATAAGTCTTATTATTGTCTATGATTAAGAACTTTAACTTTGAAGTCTTCATCAAGTTTGATGATATCTCAAGATACTCCAGCGCTTTAACTGGTGCTGTAGTGATAAAATTAAGCAAAATTACATAAAGCTAATATTAGTGATACTAATTGAATGATCTTTTAACTGTCTTAAATTATAAACAATTAATTTTACAGGACAAAAAGTAAAATAAAAGTCTTGATTCACAACTAGTAAGAACATCCCATTCAGATCTTCTCTAAATATAAAGAGATTTCTTTCTATTTTAAACAAAAGTGACATGCATAATGAAGAGATTGTTCAGTGAGTTCATATAATCATTGTAGACATCTAATTTAAGTAAAGATGGATCAGTCATGATAAGTTTAATCTTAGATTGATTAATAAGACCAGTCTTTACAGTTCTCAGTCTATATTCTAAGGACCAGTCTAAACTGGTCTTTTATTATTTATAATATATTATTTTAAATTTTATAAATACTAAAAATTGTTTTATTTATTAAATACTATAAAATTAGAGTTAGATCAACCTAGTTTTCATCTTTCTTATAGAACAGTCAGTCCATAAATCAATTCCTGGATTTATTCTAATATTTTACTATAATGATAATATCTAAAATAGAAATATTAAAAATGGAAAAATAATGAGATTAAGAAGATGCAGAAATCATTTCATATGCAATTATTTTATTATACTTTTTTATTTATTAATGTATACAATTATTTTATTAAATTATTAAATTGATCATTTTATATATATATTTTTTCTAGTATATTCTAAACTAATCTTTGAATTAGCCTTATAAATTGGTTTGTTTTGAGAGTAAGCAAATTTTAGACTGAACTGGACTGGACTGGTAGAGAACTGAATGGTATAAGACTGGTCTTAGGACTGACTTATAGACTAGTTTAGTTTAAAGAAAAATGAAAGACTGATCTTTTTGGACTAGATCAGACTGGATCAGACTGATCTAATTCTAGACTTGAACAAATTAATTTGATATTTTTATCATATGTTAAGCATCATTGAGCTCTATCTATATGAACAAATTCTCTAGAGTCTTACCTTGAAATGTTCTTAAAGTGAGTATTCGCAAATATTAATTACTGACATAATAAATATTTATATCTTTGCTGTCAATTTTACAGAAAGAAGAAGATAAATTAAAATTGGAATAATGGAAAAAATAAACAGAGATGAAGGAATAACTTTTATTTGTACTGCAAAAAAGTTTTAATGGATTTGTAAGTTTTATTTTATTATTATCTTTTAGACTAGTATTAAACCTTACTTCTCAATTCTAGTTAAAATTTAATTAATATTTTTCCTAATCTGTCAAGAAAAATTAGCGAATGAAAGTATATAATATAAAATATTTTCTCAATCTTTAAGTATTATAAAATAATGTTTAAAAAAATAAGCTTTAACTAGATAAAGTCATATTCTCTTATAGAAAGACTAATAAACTTGACTACTAACTCTGCAATCATTAAGGTGAACATGAAAGGTAAACAATAAATGCTTATTTGTGATTTTACCATTAGTTTTTTAATTAATTTAACTAATTCTAAAAGGAATCTGAATATTAGACAATAAAGATAGAAGTCTCAGGTTCACTTTCATTACTATCAAAATAACATCATATAGATGATATTTAAAAATCTTTGTATACAATCGTTTCCCTCTAAAATCACTTTCTATACAATCACATTATATAAATCCCTTATTTTATTATAATTACATTTTTTATTTTTAGTTCTAAAAGCATGATTATAAAAAAAAATGACTATACAAATATCCTAAATTTGATCAATGTCTTGCTCAATCATCTTGATTTATTCATTAAAATAGCAACATGAATCAAAGTGTTTAATTTTCAAGTAATAGGTAGGTAATTTCTATTTATTGTAAATAATAATTTAATTTCTAATTCTATATGTGATAATTAGAATATTGAATTATATTCTACTCCTTAAATATGTTAAATAGATAGGTCTTTTATTTCATCAAAGTTATTTTTTACTTTATTTCCCTTTTTATTTGATATTAAAGTAAAGTACAAACAAATATTATTTCTTATTAGTATTTTTCATGTAAGTAAAATTTACATATTACTTATTATTCTTTAAGTATAGCAGAATCCTGAATATCTCTTATTTAATTCACAAGTAATATATATTTTATAATAACTTAATTAATATTAATGTTAAAAATATGATTTTATTATCATTAGGTTTTTCTCATTAAAATAATTCCAATAACATTAAAATTGTCTAAATCCAATTACTAATTAGTTTAAAAATTGAGGTATGTAGAATAATGAATTTTGAAAAATTTATAATATACAGAATTTATATATAAATTTTACATAAATACTAATCTGAATTATATTTTGATAATTAGTCAATCTAAACGTATTTATAACATAGTCATAAGAGATAGTTATAGTTTATTTTTATTGTTTTTACTTTTATTTTTATTATTTGTAATCTTTTATTTTTAATTTATAATTATTATAATATGATTAATAATAAATATATAACAGTTCCTACATTGTTAAAAAAAAAATAATTTAAATTATATAAAAAATTTTTAGGTTCTAATCTAACAGTATTTCTATAATTTTCAATATAAAATTATAAATCAAATTTCTTTGATGCAAAATCTTAATCTAAAAATTAATTATTATAAAAAAAAATTCAGTTTAAAATATCTTAAAGGTTTTAATAGTATTAAAAGATTTTTAAAAAAAAATTGTTAATTGAAAATGCTTTATTTTTGAATTTTAAAATTCTATTTATAAGAAAATTTTAAAAAAATAAAATTATGATAAAACTTTAAATTAAGATGAAATTCACAATCATATTTAAAATAATAATAGATTTAATTTATATATTTTTTATTATTTTTATTATCCTTTAAATTGTAAGTTTTCATAAATAAATTTGCCTGCTAATTTACTATAAATTTCTCTTCTGATTTACTTTTATAAAAAAATAAAAATTTTAAATATTTTTTATAAATATATATAATATTATAAAAACTTTTATTTTTTTAATTATATAATAAATAATATAAGATTATTTATAAACTAAATATTTGTAATTTTAAAAAATTTTCAAATTAAAAAATTTTATCTTTAATTTTTGATAAACTTATTAACGTTTGCTTTTAATAATATTAATCATAATAGGTATTATAAAATTTATTATAAAGAATAATTTTAATTATAATTTTTTTTATAATTTATTAAGAAATTTTATGACTTTTATTAGTAATAAATATTCAATTAATTCATAAACATATAAATTTTAAGAAAAATTTTAAAAAATTATTATAATAAATTTTTAAAACTTAATTTTAAAAATTGAATTATTTAATAAACTT